TTCCCTTAAGAGCATACACCTACAAGCACCCAAGCTGTGATTATTTGTCTTTAGATACCATAAATTTAGTCTGCCGTAATAGTAATTTTTGGATGTTAAACGTCCTACAAACGTACTAAATCTTCTTAGCCGGTTCCTTTGCGGATTTATTTTCCGAATTATGTTTTAAGCACTAACTTTTTTGAAGGGATATGATTTTTCTTTAATGAGAAACTTTTTTCGACGTAGGGAGCTACCATTTAATTTTGATTTGTGTGTGTGGGGGGGGGGAGGGGGAGGGTGGCTCTTGGATGAAATTTGAAAAAAAGAAGGACAGGAGTTTTGAGTAAAAAAAAAAGGCAGGGTGAGGCAAATAAAAGACATAATGACAAATTCGGTAAAAAAAATCAGGATAAGTTAATAAAAAATAGGCAGGACTGAGTAGAGTGAAAAATAAAAAATCAGGACAGAGATAACGACTTAAAAATGCATCCTACCCCCACCCCCCCCCCCCCCCCCCCCCCCCCCCCCAATTTTATTGACTTATAGATGCTTTTGGTACTTTTACATGATTTTGTGTCCTCATAAGTAGAATGTATTCATCCACTGTATTTTCTTATTGATATACAGGTTTTCAGTGTATATTATAATTATATATTCATACCTTGTACATGTAGAAAGTTTTTTATAGGATATGCTTGTTGTTCAATTCTGAATAAAAATATGTTTACAATCAAATACTGTTAGTCCTAAACAAAATCTCTCATATCCAACGGATATTTCTATGTACGCTATAAACTTAAAAATTAAAAATGTATTCTATTTTGTGTCTGCTAAATCAAACTTATTGAGTTGACCGAAGTTTTAAATTCTTAGAATTGATAAATTGACAGGTGCAGAGTTTTGATAATAATATTTGTCTTTGTTTCATTTATTTATTCTAAAAATGTAAAAGAGAACTTCAGTCAATTTAAGGGTTTTTATTAGATGAAAATAAAATGAACTGTGTTCTGATGTATCGACACACTCTTTGTATACATTATTAAAGGTAATAGTGCCACATTTGATATTAAACATTATTGAGTGAAAATCCTAATGTGTATATAAATAACATAAAGCAAATTGAAGTTAGAGACGTTGTACTAATACGTGATAAGTTGGTGATATTGAATTGAAAATATGAGATCGCCACTGAACTTTTGTAAGGAAACGATGGATTTGTGCATGAGCATTGAAACTTAAAGACTACAACTTTGTTTTATTTTTTTTTTTACTTGTTACATATTTCCAGTATTAATAGATATTTCTCGTATTGCATTCAACGTAGAAGTGTAACATGATATATATGTTAATTTCGTTTGCTTATTCTGCAATGTGATAAATTGCATTTCAATGCTAAGAAATCACTATAAATGCCTATCAAGCTCGACCTCTAAATGTTGTTTGTATTTTGTGTCTTATGTGTAGTTGTCTCATTGAAAATGTTTTCCGCATCTCCATTTATAGTTTTTTTATTTGCAAAACATTTAAAAATGTCGCAGCTTAGTCTTAGTACACCCTAAATGAGGAAACCGTCTGGCCCATAATCATACGGACGCATGGACGAAATAACAATTTGTACGAATATTTCATCACCAAATAGTACACCGAACGACTTTGCAATCCTGTCCCTAAATTTTAAACAAAATGGAGGATGTGGTATGCTAGCCAATGAGGAAACTCTCCATAAGAGACCAAACTAACATAGAAATTAATTACTATAGGTCACCTTACGGACTTAAACAAAAAAACAAAAATTATATCGCATAGTCAGCTATAATAGGCCCTGAAATGACCAATGTAAAACAATTCAAACGAGATAACAAATGATTTATGAAAAAAATTATAAACGGAAAACAAATATGATAAATAGCAACAAACGACAACTACTGAATTACATGCTCCTGACTTGGGACAAACACGGACATAATTTGACGGGCTTAAACTAGTTTGAAGGCACCTACCAACCCTCCCCTAACCGTGGATAGTGGTGTAACAATACAACATATGAAAAAACTATAAAAATCAGTTGAAAAGGGTTAAACTCATTAAATCGATACAAAGAAGAAAAACATTTAACAAAAGTATGAACTATAGCTATATTTTGTACGTATTCGATTAACTTAACGCAGTTTGTGATGGAACTTTTGTTTTGTATTTCTACCATCTGCATTAAATTATTCTAATCAAATAACTTGTATGGTAAATGTCATATTAAGCAACCTACATAATTGATTCGCAAGCATTAAAAACCAAACATTCCTAAGCGTACTGCAAACTAAAGAGTATTCTACAACAGTAGTGCAATTTTGCTGTTTTGGTATGGAAATGTACTAAGATTTTTAAAGACTGAATATGTAGTGTATCTTTTGAAGTTATCATTTGACAGGGTTTTTTTTTTTTTGCATAAGCGAAGGTGTATTGCTATTAATGCCCTTGGATATTATCCGCCCAATAATCCTTTTAATCACGAAATATACCATCATCAAAGACGTTTTATTTCTAGATTGAAATTAAAAGTTACGCAAAATGCAGACATTCTATTGAAGGACAAGGATCAAATATGGTTTTTGGTTGTGAACTCCATATGGATGGTCTCAAGTTCAATAAGGGAATTCAACTACCTGACATACCGATAGAAATAGATGTAATTTAACGCATTCTTCAAAAACGAAGAAGTGCTGATACATACAAAAATTAACAATTATATATTTAACCTTTTTAGCAGTGATATTAGTTACTTCTTACATTTAAAATTATATGCACTCAATATCAAAATATGTAACAGTAGCAAATTTGCCCCATTTATGTTGAAGGTGTTACAATATTTATAAAGACTGCAAAAATATAGATAATTCTTTTATTTATTTATCATACCATGAATCCTTTTCCTTTTTGAATTGTATATTACTGTGGATTCATTTATTTTGGTAGGTATCAATTTTCGTGGATCGCTGAAAACTTGCATATTCGTGGATATTTGATTTCGTGGTTTTGCCAATCTCTGAATACAAAGCCTATTGAAAATATGTTATTCGTTGAACATTTGAATTCGTGGTTCATTTGTCCCCACAAAACCCACGAAAATTGGTATTCAACGAATAATAATAAATCCACAGTATTTTTACACTCAAAAGACCTTATTGCAAATAACCTATAACGATTTCAGCTTTTGGTTGATATCAGATCTATAAAATAACGCTTTATAAAGTAGCACCCATTACGTTTTGCTAGATTTACCACCTCCAGCATGGACACCGAAAGTCGAAAGCAAGGAATATTTATATATCTCACTACTTGATAACGTCAACGGCTTTATAACTATGTGGGGTATATGTTAAATGGAATTATTAGCTTTTTGGTATATCTCATATTTTATAAGCTGTCAGCTAAAGAACTGCACATAGTTGATATCAAACCTTCGAATATGAATATTAAAAATGAGGGACGAAGGATATCAAACTCATAGATCGAAAACAAACTGACAACGCCATGGCCAAAAATAAAAAGACAAACAGACAAATACTAGTAGAGATGACACAACATAGAAAATTAAAGACTAAGCAACACGAACTTTTTAATGTTTTTCCAACTGCCAACATATGAACGACAGCTGTCATACTTTTTATGCCTGTCTATTCTTAATTTTAAAATACATCTATGAACATTTAAACCCCAAAATGACCCAACTTATTTACGTCATTGAGGGGAATAACAGATAAAAAGTAAGAATTTGATTGTGTCTCCTAATTCGACAAAAAAAAGGGGTTTCAGTTACATCCTAACATTCAAACGTATATGTTATCAATATTAAGACATTTAACGGTAGTAAAAATGTAACGTTCTCTGCGTTTAAATTGTAACTATATTTACAAAGAATGCATTAAATATCGGTTATATTTCTTTATTTTTTAGATTTTAGATAAAAGCATTGAGCCAATTTGAAAATGAACTAATTGATGTAGGTACTCTTCACATTGTTTGCAAAAACATTGTAGCACAATGTTGGGTTGAATTAATCATTTATCTAAAGATCATTAGTTACACAATGTGGTAGGGACCTAATACGATATATACAGGGTCATTCATTTCAATTTGGAGCGCATATGAATGAAATAGCTTTATATATAATTAATTTTAGCATTATCCGAAAGAGATTGTTTTCATCTTCTCGTTGATATTCCTATTATTTTCACTGTGTACTCAAGTCCATATAGCTTATTATGTCTGAATGTATGCAGGCGCTGCTGGAATGTTGCTACATATAAATGGAAAGTTGTGTTATGTTTAATTCTAGTGTATGTTAAGATATCTTTTAATACGCATGTCCTTGTGGTCTGAATAAGACCTCAATAGTATGTCAAGTTTTCAATTTATATTGCTTAATTTTTAAACACACGACCATATTGTTTGTTCATAAAGCGACATTCAGTGGTTGTATTGAAGATATCCATTTGTTTTAATTTTGATGTCAGTTTGCTGTTCTTTTTTATGGTTTTATGTTTGTTTCTTTGGATTTTTTTTGTATAACAGGTTATTCAAGGGGAGTTACTAGTCACTGCTAGCAGATCCCAAAATAATAGTTATTTTTTTATGTTATAACTGCTAACATATTATCGTTTCATGTGTAATCTTTGAACTTTGTTTATGAAAGGTTTCAAACATAACATTAAAATGGCAATTTCATATGTTCAAATCATAAAATTGTACGTTTTATATGGTTTATATTGTATCAGTCTAGAAAAACGTCTGATATTGACTAAAATAAAAATTACAATAGACTTAACTATTTAATTGTCATACAAAAGGATATCTGTTACCATTGCAATAATTATTATACATGCCAAACACGACGTATTGATTACAACTTTACCTAAGTGAGTAAAATGTATATTAAACGATGTACTTTATAATTGTTAAGTACATAATGAACTGATTTAACAAATATAAGAACTAAGTTATTGCGCATGTGTCCTGAATTTTGTCTGACGACATATTTGATGGCTTAAAAGAGAATAATTCGTTTGAAATGTATGTATATTAACCTTAATTCGTATTATTGTAATTTATAGAGATGATTTTGTAAATATTTTGTTCAGTTCTCGTGTGTGTATATCAGAAGACTATCAGAATGCTCCACATAATAAACACCTGATAAAATTTCGATTTCGTAAAATCTGTCTATGGGTAAGGTAAACAAAATATAATAATGAAGAAATATCTTCCTGTTCAGAAGATTTGTTAATTCACCCGTTTTTATACGTCGTAGTTCCTTTTCTTTCTGTCCTTCGGTAACTTTAAACAATTATCATTTATTCAAATATGCTCATGTTGTTAGTCATGTTACATATTTGAATAAACTTATCGTAGCATATTGGAAACTGCCAGATCATGAAATTTGAGAATTGTTCTCGTGCAGAGCCCATCAAAATATGTTTTTACTCGGTCAAGTTCCTTTTTTACAGAGACACTTGACATAAAACAATTCTTGCATAAATATAGATTCTACCACATCATTGAGTGTGATACGATATTTAACACTCGAGACAGTTAAATATTTAAACTTAAACTGTCGAGGGTGAAGAAATATCGTATTACACGAGATTGGGTGGTGGAATCTGTTTCTCTAATGATTTTTAAACAATATGCAGGCAAACTTGTTCCTTCTTCAAATGATCTGCAAAAAGATGTGTTCTTTCTATGTGACGTCATCAGGGCATGACCGCTTTTTTTCATGCCATCACAATAGGAAATTCAGAGGAACGCAAAAAAATACGTCGTCACAATCGAATTTTGACCAATGAAGAACTGAGATCAAACAAACTACATGTTAAAAATAAAAATAATCAACATGTCATGAAAGGGAGAAATTGTATACGAATTAGCGAAATATTAATACATGTAGTTGTCTTTATTTGGAATAGTTCATTTTTATCACACGCAAGACACATTTAAAATTTCCAACAAAAGATATTTTGTCTTATCTATAATTAATATTCCCTATTTAAGGTGGCGATGTTCTCTTTGTACACTTCTTAAGATCGTTAGTATTTCGGTACCTAAAAGTAAATTTAAAATTATCCACTTTTTGATATTTTGTTTGCATCTGTAGGAATCATATTGCCATCGGAATATCACACACTTAACATAATGGCCCTTATGTCTTTATCCTCGGATTTCATCCGCCAAATAATCAGGATTTCGTTGTAATCATAAAATATAGCCTACCTTATTCTTTTGATTTTTAGGTAAACATTTTTAACTTTAAATTTCAAACAAAAAACTGAAGGTGTTGATGACCAAGAAGCAAACGCGGTTTGTGGTTGTGGACTCCAAATTGTGGTCTTAATGCAATAAAGGAATTACATAATTTGTGATACCGATAAAAAGCAACACAAGAAACGAAATAAAGCTGCATTTAAGTAAATTTAAATCAATTAAATCTTTCATTATATCATTATCCTTGATTTAATTATACAGTATACTATGCATCCTCTTTCTTGATAAATTATACATGTATATAAGCTTTGCACCAAATTGAAATATTATAAATAAGCGGCAACGCTTTCATAAATTAGACTTGGAGTAATAAGACCTTTTTAAAACTGAAAATAAGGCTTTTAAAAGTTGGAATTTAAAGAATTTCTTTACATTTTTCATCTCATATTTTATGAACTTTTTCTTAGACTTTTACATAGTTTTAATCATCCCCATATGAATGCGTTATTTTACTTTTAAAGTACTTTGTGCATACAGATAAGGTAGCAACAGTCTATATTATGATAATAATGCTCTTCAACTTCGTATTTGATTTGGTCTGCCAACTGTGTCACTAATGTGACTTGAGTTATAAAGATTATAGCCTGGTATTCTTGATGACATTTTGTTAACGCTTCCAAACAATTAAAAACCATCGGTATATTTTGGAAGTAGACATTAATACTTGAACAAAAGAAGAAAAATATTTGGAAAGTTGGTCAAATAACAATCACAGTTAGATAATGATACAGTATTTTTTTTCTTTTAATATATATATATGAATGTATTTTAAGGGACGCTTTTTAAAACAAACCTCCCTGTGTTGTCAAGGAGAAAAATACCGATTCTTAATTAGATTTAAATTTTGAGAGCTGATCAGACAAGTATAAAGATATCAGTCACCCCTTTAAATCTAAAATTATATGTGAACATTGTCGGTCATTTAACATGTTAAACTGTTTACTTAAATTTATTATAACTTGCACGAACACTGCACTTAAGATCGGGTATAGCAATTCATTATAGATAGCATAATTTGAATTTTGTACGCCAAAAATATTTTGAAACTCTATTCTTCTTTTGTCCATTTATGCAGTTTTCACATACACGTATATACCAAAAGAATAAGATCTTATTCTTTTGGTATATACGTGTATGTGAAAACTGCATAAATGTAAGGCCAACAATTATTAAATATAAATACATACATAAACCCTTATAACACATTAAATGTTCAGCTCGTTGAGGAAGAATAGAGTTTCAAAATATTTGTGGCGTACAAAAGGAACAAGTTTGCCTGCATATTGTTTAAAAATCATTAGAGAAACAGATTCCACCACCCAATCACGTGTAATACGATATTTCTTCACCCTCGACAGTTTAAGTTTAAATATTCAACTGTCTCGAGTGTTAAATATCGTATCACACTCAATGATGTGGTAGAATCTATATTTATTTAAAATGTTTTTTATTTATGTTTTATGATTTTTGCAAATGGTAAAACCACCTTTTGTTGTGTTTTCTAAAACACCAAACAGTAAATTAGTTCCCGAAATTGCAACGAATTTGATTGTGGTTTAACTTATTTTGCTAGCTCTTACTTGAAAAGAGTAAAATCACAAAAATCCTGAACTACAAGAAACATTTAAGATGGAAAGTCCCTAATTAAATGGCAAAATCAAAAGCTCAAACCCATCAAACGAATGGATAACAACTGTCATATTCCTGACTTGGTACAGGCATTTTCTTATGTAGCAAATGGTAGATTTAACCTGGTTTTGTTGCTAGCTAAACCTCTTACTTGTATGACAGTCTCATGACAGAGTACCAAAAATGTCCTACAACAGAGTAGGTAACTTCTGGAAAGTCATATACTCCTTAGTCAAAAGTAATTATAAGATAGTATATTTACAATTTAATTGGATTGATCTTGACTATGATTGTTTTGTTAATGCGTCACATGAACATGTACAGGAATTGAAATTTATTGACTGCAACTAAATGTATCTGGTGCAAGTACAAAGAGTACCTTTGTTTATTGTTTTATTTACATTTATCAAAAATATTTCCTTATTGGTCGAAAAAGACCTGAAAATTATATCCAATTTTTAATCGCTGTTGCACAATTCTAAAACACATGCACTTGTTTCTTTGTTAATCAAACAACCTAATACTTTCAATTTTTTAGAAGTTGTGCATTTTGTGCAGCTTCCTCTCTCTTGTTCTAAATAACGTTAGGAATTCGTATTGTTTTCTATTTTGGTCTTCCTTACGTTTCTTTATTTTGTTTGGTTTTGTTTGTGTTTTGGTTTGGTAACCTTTGTTTGCGGGGTTTTCCCTTTGAGCATATATCACAAAAATGTTATGATTATGTTTTGTATATTAGAGCCCGCAGGGAAGTCCCTGTTAAGCAGATCCAATATATAAGATTACTTAAATTTTATGTTACTTAAAGCTAGCGTGTTTTGGTTAAACAAGTTATTGTTCTATAATGTTAACCAGGACGTATTATCTCTGAATTTTTCTATAGAACAAAAACATGCAATACACAGTACGTCAGAGACCTATAATTTAAATACTCGATCAAGTATTGTATTTGGGACCAAAGAGTATCTCGAGTCAGTATATGAAATAACCTGACTATGAATTAACTATACCAGGTTACTGACGGCTGTGTAATCATTACATCTTATAAACATTCTGATATTTGCACCAAAACATGGCTATCTATTACTAATTTTGAGCATTCAGCTGTTGCGGCCTTAAATCGACTGATTTCAAGTATTATAACTCCTATACACGGTGTGTACAACATATGTTTGGTTCTTTCGTGTCGTCATAAACTCGATTGAACATTCGGAAATCTATAGAAGTATATCATGTATAGAGTCTATAGAAAACAACCACCCAGCAAATGTTATACAAATCGGACGATCTAACGAATGTACAACGTAGTTGAACAATTGTATAAAAGTTTTAAGATTTGAACAACGAATGGCTTTCATCAATGTCAAATCCCTTTCCAAAAAGCGATAAAACAATGTGTTATGTGTTGTTTTAAAAGAACTCACTCGTTCATACAGTTAGTTTTGTACTTTATCCTATATCATTCATCGTATGTATTAACAAGGCGGTTCCACTTGTAAATAAGAATTGATCTTAAAATCATTTAAAACGTTTGAAACTAACAATGCTGTTGTTTTGTTGTTAATGGCGTACTGTTCATGCATTCATCTATAGTCAATCAAGAACTGTTTATCCCTTTTCAGACAACTTAGTATGTTATTGCTTTGTACAGGTAAATAACATATTCTCGACAGGCTGAATATAAGCTGAACAGATCTTTATTGACTGCAAGAAACAATGTCTGAATAGTACTGAATGTATTTGCCCTGGATATTGTGAAATTTGACTGAAATACTGAACAAAACTTAATAATTTATTTTCAGTCCTTCAATAGCTATTAAGACCAAAATGATTCGAAATTGGTTTACAAGAACTTAATAGTTTACATGATGCAAGAGACATTTTTTAATATAATGTCATTCTATGCCATGCTAGACAGAGGAAGATTAGTAAGAGCAAAAATCACATATGCATTTTATTTCACCATATATACATATAATCATAAGTAATAACAATGAAAAAAAAACTTATATATTTTGCTATGACACATTTTCATCCTTATCTATTTCACTTTTAAAACGTACGCACGGTACGGGTCTCTTTATAATATTTTGGAACCATGAACAAATTGGGTTAATAAGTTAAAT